AGAATACCACTTTGTTATAAATTGTTAACCAAGTCTGGTATTTCCTCTTTCCAGGACAAAGTCAAACAGATACTGTGTAAATTTGAAGACAAGACTTTTTCTTTTTTCTTTTCCACTAGTCCACATATTCTCATGGGTGTACGGTCCCTTGACAATGCTGGCTGAATGCCAACTTCTAACCTTCCCTTTGGGTGAGTTTAAAGTGAAGGTCTTGTTTTTGGTCTGCTCTAGTGACTCATTACTAACTGGCAACTTAAAAAATCCAAGGTGGTCCTTTCAGTTTTCGATCCTCTAGTTGGTTTGGAACTTTCCTCATTTTGGGGGAATTGCCACTACGCAGTTTACATGGACTTTGTTGTACTATATACTCTGTTAAGTTGGCAATATTAGTAGAAGTCCCTGAATGTGTCTTAAAGAAATGATATAAAATGCTCCGTGGTCTTTAGAAAAAATAAAGTCCACTCGTAAGTGCAACAAATAGTTAAAATATATACCAGTTCTACACTATGATCTATGACACACAGAGAGAGAATACATGTAAAAGAAAAAAGTCAATGTAAGACAGAGAAATTTTTTAAAAAAGATAACTGTACAACAACAAAAGAAAATTTCTAGAGGGAGGGACAAGACATGCATAGACAAAACCAACCTAATCAGAGCAGTGCAGATCTAGAGGAAAACAAACTATAAGAAGAACGCAAAGCCTTCAACTTTCCTGAAAGGAAAAAAATATTTTTATTTCAGGGCTTTTAGTACTGCTGATGATTCTTTTTCAATCAATTCCATTTTTCTGGAAAAGATCTCAGAGGTTTCCCTATCTTGAGGATAGCCTAAGACAAAAAAACTCCAGATAGTTTCATGTCATTAAGGGTTTTTGTCCTCTACATTTGAAAAATATCCAGTAAATTCTCAATTTACAGATTATAGGGGGCTGGGGATTTAGCTCAGCAGCATAGCACCTGCCTGGCAAGTGCAAGGTTGTGAGTTCGATTCCCAGTACCGGAAAAAAACAAAAAACAAACAAACAAAAAAAACCAGATTATAAAGACTAAGGGCTTCAATCTCAATTCTCATTACAGCAGGAAAGTTTTATTTTGGCATACACATGTGTTGCTCATCTAACTACATGGAGGTATAATTAAAACAACTACTCAAAAGTGACAATTTGACAGAACCACAATTTGAGAACTTGATCTCTTTTAAATTGTGCTACTTTCATCTACTACCCTGAAAAGAATAGTTTCCTTTATGTTTGAAAAAAAAATAAATGTAAAATAAGCTTAAAATTCTTTTACTTCTATATACAGACATACATGTTTTTTCCATTGTGGTAACAGGCATACGGCCAGGCATGTTAGCATACGCCTGCAATCCCAGAATTTGGGAGGCTGAGGCAGGAGATTGCTGTATGTTTGAGGCCAGCCTGAGCTACAAAGTGAGTTCAAGGCCAGCCTGACCTGCACAGCAAAACTCTGTCTCAAGGAAAGAAAACAGGTAAATTAAAATTTAGAGTTTTTGGATATGTAGGTAGTTCTTGGGAAATATCAAACATTTTGCAGTAAAAGTGAACTAAAATATAAGCCACTCCCCATGAGCAGATGAGGCTACATAATATTTATTGAATAATTTTAATTAAACAACAAAAAAATTGACATGGGCTTTGACTATTATGTAGTGATTATTTCTTTGAACCTATCAATAAATTGTCAATACCCACAGGCCATTACAGCAGTGTAACTTTTCATTTTAAACTATCTTGAGGAAAATATGAACAATGTTTTTCCTAAGCAAATTAGTTTTCAAAGAGAGTACATATATTTACCATGATATCTATTCATAAATTTTCTCATGAGCAACATAACATTCCTTTATCCACATCCCTAAAATTACTGAACATAACACAAGGAAAAGAAACCTAGAGATATATTTTTTTGAAAAGGTGAGTTTTGCTTCTAGTCATAGTTGTTACAAGGGTCCCTTGATATATGCAGTAAGTGACTCCTGTCTTTTTTCTCAAATGCAATAATAAAGTTGCCAGAGAACAAATATATTGCTTGAATTTTAATTTGGAGCATCAACTACAGATTCAAAGTCACCCCTTTGCTTCACACTGATGAAAGTCTACCTCTTCTTGTCTGAGAGGCTCTGAGGTTAGATATTTAACAAACTTACGAAGTTTAAAAAAGCCTAGAGCTAGATGGTTAACTCAGTGGGAGGGCACTTGCCTAGTATGTATAAGCAAGGCCCTGGGTTCAATCTCCAGAACTTTAAAAAAAAAAAATCAAACCAAACTAAACCAAACAAACAAAAACAGCAACAACAATAAAAAACCCCCAAAGAATAATGTTCTCAAAAATGCAGGCGGGAAACTCATGCTGCCAAGCCATCAGGCAGTATCACAACAACCTTTTCTTAATAAACAGCAGTGGCTTTTCTAAACAAACAGCAGTGGCTTTTCTAAACACTGCCAGCTCTGAGCTGCACTGCTAAAACAAAAGGAATAGGGATGAGAGTCTGTAAGTGCTGAGCTGAAAGATCTCCCAAGGAGGTCTTTCCTGTCGTGCTCCTCATCACAGAGGACGCAGGAGGCCAGGGCTGCTGTTCCCCGTGGAGCCCTGCCACAGACAGAACACTCACCCTGCTCCTTCAATGGGGTTTTCTACAGTCTGATTCTGTGCTCTATATGGGCAAGGGCCCATAGGTCACTCCACCATTTCTCCTCCCTGGAGAACCAGAGACCTAGTCCCTTGTATAATAATTGACAGGGCAATGCCAATTTTGCTCAAGACGGTGGGGCTGATAAAGAGAAAAAAAGTTAAAAATTCCTAGGGCTGAGACAGACAACAGGCTGATTTGAATGCTGTTTCATAGGAATATGGCACAGGGCATTCTGGGAAAAATGTGATTTACCACAGAAAGTCTTTTTTTGTTTTGTTTTGTTTTTTCCGGTACAGAGAATTGAACTCACCACCTTGCACTTGCCAGGCAGGCGCCGTACCGCTGAGCTAAATCCCCAGCCCTTACTACAGAAAGTCTTTACTTTCTACTTCATTATGCTATTCTACTCTTCCACCTCCTTTCCAGGTAGGCAAAAGAAACACTTAGGATTGTTCCTTTAAGAAGGAGAAGCATAAAATTACTCTTGCCAGCTGAATAAATAAGGAAAATCATTCCTCAGCCTCAGTCTCAGCCTTCTGCTGTCATAAAGGAGATCCACATGTGGACAGAGGTTTCTTGCCCACCTTTATGTTGGGAACTTCATTTCACAGATGTGTTTATTCCTAAGAATCACTAGTGAGGCTTAATGGAAATTGAGATCTCTGGCTCCTTCCTAACTTACTTGGCATTTTCAGGGGAAAGACTCCGGAACGCTTTTAGCAAGCATCCCAGTAATTCTTATGATGAGTTAAGTTTCAAAAACACCGATCTTAGGATATGTTCATTTAAAAAAAATTAAAACCTATTCCTCTTTCTTTTCCTGAGTCCTTTAGGAACTCGAATATGAAGTACAAGAAATAAACTGCACACATTAAGCTATAACTCAGTTTACTCTGCATGCTAACCAATTAGGGCAGCTAAATAACATATGAAAATGAACACTCTGTTGACAATTGTTAAATTGCTATCCTGAGGGCTGGTGGCACTGGCTTAAGCAGCTCTTGTTTTGAAAGCATAATCACTCTGTCTAGAAATTTTGCACAGTGATCTTGCCTGACATGTGCTAATCAAAGATCTGTACAGACTGAAATGGCTATGTCTACAACGCAAAAGGCAACGAGTGCAAAAACCACAAAGAGCTTCTTCACAAAGGCATAGAAAGAAAATCAAGTGGCTCTGGATCTGCCTACTTCCTTCACCATTCACCCTCAGAGTGAACTATCACACAGGGAGCATTTAACACATGGCTGACAAGTGGATGAATGCAGCATGTGTCAGCAGCATAAATAAAAGCAGCATCATATAATTTCATAGCACCTTCACAGGAGGGAAAAGTTTGTATACATTACCTAGTGTAAAACTTTAACCCCCTTTAACCTAAGTAATTTACATGGAAATTTATTTTCAAAACAGGAAAGGCAAATCCTGAGAGGTCCACAAAAGCACAAAACGAAAGAAAAGGAAACAAAAGCTAAGGTGGTACATCCGGAGTAACAGAACCCAAGCCAGGCAGCCCACAAGGAGGGGAGCACACAATGTGGCACCAATGCTTCTCCCCACAGTGTGGATTTGGTGTCAGAAACCACAAATAGCATACTTCAGGGCCAGAACTCACAAGAACAAAGACTGAACAAGAAAGGGAGAGAACTCAGGTAGAGAGAGAGCAGAACCCCAGAGGAGACAGAATGAAGAAGAGGGGAGAGCATGCAACATCTCATGCAGGGACCTCAGTGAGGGCAAGTGGGCACCGGGCAACACTTGGCGAGAACAGAGGACCAGAGAAGTGAGACACACCTCAATCACAGAAACAAACCGCTTACCCTCCGCTTTAGTGGTAGTACCATCTTTAAGCAAATTAAAGAAACAAGGGAAGGGATAACAGGGAACAGTTAGTAACATTCAAAAAATTAAAAAAGCAGAATGTTATTAGCTACTAAAAAACCAAAAGTACAATTTGAAACAAAATCAAAAGAGAAACAAGTTCAACAGCAAAGCAGAGTCTGAAGCAAGTAAGTGCACCTTAGACTGAAATTAGCTTAGACTGAAATTAGCACAGTGTAATGTGTTTTTGCCTTTGGAGAACAAAACACAAAAGAGCAGCTCAGGGCTGTGCCACAGTTGAAGAATGTTGCTTTTTGTTTTAGCCAATCCTTATCCTCTAAGAGTTCGTTCTCCCTGCAAGAAAGTACTAGCAGAATGCAGGGAGCAGCAGAAAGGGACTAAAAATGGAAGTACGGAGAGTCCCCCACAGGGCAGAGGCAAGTGAAAGCTGAGAGCTGGCTCTAGCAACGCCTACCCAACTACACGCCCAGCAGCAGCACAGCAGCTGGCGAGCTCGGTACCTGAGTCCAGGCCTATGTACTCCATGTCTTCCCTCATGTGTCTGGATTCTAGAAGTTTGGAAAAGGGTTGTCAGCTTTAACGGCATACTTGTGCACAGGTGTCATGTGTCAGCCTAAGCAATAACTGTTAAGAGTTTTCAGCAGGATTATATTCCATTTCAGGTTTTCAGTTCTGCTTTGGGACATAACAAGGAGAGTACAGGGAGAGTTCCCAGGAAATAGGGGAGAGAATTTTGAGTACTGCAGTTGTGCTATTTGAAGAGGCAGCACTGGGCTGATAGCCTGTCCTCAGTGCTTCTGAAAGGCAATTCCCTCTCATCAGACGAAGACCTGGGGCTTTCACTAGCAATGGGAGACATCTACTCGGTCTACATTCAAACACCCCCAATATGCACAGAGAAATAGACTATGCACGTCTGTAATCCCAGCACTTAGGAGGCTGAGGCAGGAGGACCACTGTGAATCTGAGGTGAGCCTGAATTATATAGTGAGACCCTATCTAAAAAAAGAAAGAGTATGGAGTTGGCTAACAGTGGATTTAACTCGCATTTTCCAGCATGGAGACAAACGTTAATTATAAATACTAAAGGTGGGTCAAATAAGTAACTCATCAGAGGAGAGAAGAGCTGTGACTTCTCCCTTGCTCAAAGATTACAATCAAGAGAGTATCACAACACCCTACACAATGGTGCAATAGGTAAGAGGGTAAAACAAGAGCCTGTCTGGGATTCTCCCATAGGGCTGTGCACATGAAGTACTCCCAACAGGACACCTTGCTGAGTGACCAAGTGCTCCAGGCCACACATTTAACTACTGATGTTCTTATCACAACCTTGCTTTCTTCTACCTGATAAGGTGAGAGTTTACAAAAGACCTTCTTCATAAAATCTCACTGCTCCTCAAGGATCTGAATCAGGTCATCATTATTATAAGAGATTTATGGGCAGGGAAGCAGACTCAGGGATTGCACGGCCTGCTGGAGGTCACAGAGGTAGGGTTAGGTCGCAGACCCAGGGCCTTCTCCGTGTGCCTGCTATTCCCTGTGCTTCCCATGCACATGGCATTTCAGGTTTTAGCTAGAGAGCTGACTTTGGAATTCTAGCAATCCACCAGTAAATCCATTTCAGTATTTCATGTTTAAAGTTTATTCATTTTCTTAATACTCAAAGTAGAACCAATTCAGCCATGTCTTCAGATTAGGGGGTTGAACGACTTGGCTTTTACAAAAACACAATAAAATAAACCATCAGTCTTACATATACTGGGTGTTAAGTGTCTGTTAAGAAAATAGTCATTGCCTACCACTATTCAGACATTAAACTTCTGGACAAGAACTACCTAAAACTTCTCTGGGGCGCTCATTTGAGTGGGGGTGTCTCAGGTGACCACAGGAGGAGGGCACTGTAAGTACAGATGTGTTATGCTGATTAAAGAGTCCACCACTTCCCTTTCAAGTCCTCCCCATTCCAAGGAACACTAACTACAAGGACTACTGCTAAGTCCCTCACTGAGACCACTGGTCCTGTTCCCCCAGTGGTGGGGGACAGGGAAGGGGAGGGGGTCGGCTGTGGTGTGAGTACCAGCTGGGCTTGCCATGCAGGAGGAGAGGAGCTGGGGGAGGACATGCTCAGGGATACTGAGCCTGTGAGCACAACGGCCTCACTCATCACTAAAGAGGATAAAACTCCAGGGAAAAGCAACACTTGGAAAAAGTTGGCTGGGAGCTGGCACCAAGTGCACAAAGTTACTTGTAAGTCAGTATTAGCCCTGCAACAGTGAGACTTCCCTCAATTATGGTGTTCTATAACCCACTCAGAGGTCAGGCTCAACTCAGACAGCAGATGAGGGAGGAGGGGCGGAGTGTTTTCAGTTACCTAAAGATGCATAAGACCCTGGAGGGAGAGCAGCTGCGGAGCTGAAGGGCACGGCGCCTGAAGTGGAGGAGACTTTGGATTTGGCACTGGCTGCTGCGTTCACATCAATATCACTTCGAGATCGCTGGAGGGACCCAGTTGTGGACACAGATTTGGTGCTAACTGTAGAAGCTTTGGAGATGAAGGAGGAAATGCCAGTAAGGACTATGCAGAATTCTCAATATATGTTGCTAAAACTTGATATTTTGCTTTTCTTGAAAACAAATACAAGTTGTACCAAAGGCTGGAGTTCACTTCGGACCAGCAGTTTTCTCCCGCCCTGAAGAGGGATTTAGACAATGCTGAAGGCAACCAGGTGCCCAGACTGCAATGTTATCCACTATATTTGTTTTCCTGAAATCAACTATACACCCCCTTCCAAGTACCCCTTAATTTTGGGTACTTGAGAAGAGATGAAAAAAGGAACATTATGAACTGTCTGAGAGCCTTCTCATGGTGTGGTGCGAATGTGCAGGCAGCCACATGCCCTCCCCCACTTCCAGGAAACTGGCCCTTCTCCACCCTCTAGGGGCCACCGGGTTGCTGCTTGCAGGAATATCATGAGGAGTCCACAGAACATCACTCGCCTATGATGTGGACTGATGGAGAAGCAGCACTACTTATGGCAGCAGCATCATGCCAGGAGGAGAGAGGCAGAAAAGGTCACAGAGCTGAATTTCCACCGGCCTCAGTTATCCTGATAATGGGAGCAAAGCTCTGAGTCAGAGCAGATGGCAGAGCCTACAGCAAGCAGGGACTTCCTGTGCTGGGCAAGGTCAGCAGTGCCTGCAAAGCTGAGCCACCCCCTGGGCGGGGACAGGTGCCCTTGGCACTCCCTATACTGCTCCTCTTACCTCTAGATGTGGTACTGCCAGTAGGACTTCTTTTGGCAGAAAGTGGCCGACTAAAAAGCAAGGTATATACATGTTTATTATTTAAAAAAGCACTCTATTAGCAGTAATATAAATACAAAGTATAGTAGGAAATTATGAAAATAAAGAATTATTTCAGAGTTTTCAGAGTTTTTCAGAAGTATGGACCAAAATCTTATAAATCCTATTTCTGATAAAGCTTTAGGATTACGTTTGGGACTACCTTTCAAGCAGAAGCAAAATAACTCCTAGAGGCAGAAACTAGAAATGTAGAGTGAAGATAGTAAAACATCAAGTCCCAGGTTTCTCAACTTATCTGAGTTAACACTGATATCCTCTCAGAAGACTCAACCTGCCCTGTAATTTAGTACTTTTCTCTTTTTAAATTTTTTTTATTTAGTACATGTTTGCAGTACATAAAAATTATATTCACTGTGGGGAACTAGTACATGTACATAACACAGTTCTTTCTATAATTTACTATGTTAGCCTAGAACTGGTTTCCAGGATGCCATATAAATTTAAGAAACTACTTACAGTAGAGTCCAAGGCTACCTCTTACCTTTCTTCACAGTACCTTATGAGAATCAGGATCCACCTGAAGATGGGCAATTGTAATAGGCACACTCACACAGAAACACAGCTGGAATTCACACTTCCATGCAGCGAACATTAAATACACACTGCCACACTGTGACCATAAAGCCAAGCCCCTTACTTGAGACTTTCTTGAGAGCTGGAAGATGAGCGGTCAGACTGCGGCAGAGACACAATGCTGTCTGAGTTCTTCAAGTGGGACTGCAGGGCTTTCTGGTACGAGGACTCCAGGGTGTGGTACAAGTGCTCTGCCTCTCTGCTGAAGTGACTGTGGAAGCCCCAGTAACATCTAGGGAAAACAAATTCTTGGGTTAGGCCTAACATCATCTTTTTAAGGGCCAGCCTAGCTGCTGATAGCAGCAGCAGTGTATGAGGGGAAGGGAGGAACAAAGGAGGCATCACAGTACACTGGCTTTTTCACACTGGACAGGTCACTTAACTTCTCTGAACCTCAGCCCATTTACAGAATGGTAAATAAACAGTCTTAACTTGCAAGACTGGGGGTCTGAGGGAAGGTGAAGCTAAAACACACAGACCTATATTTAGAACACAGGATGGAACCATTAATAGTAGCTTTTATAGATGGAATTTGACATTCCTTGGTTTAAGTATTTAAAATTGCCCTAAGTATCATTATAACAGAAAAAAGTTCAGAGCTACTTGAAATCTGTATTACCTTAAAACTAGAAAAAACTTGGGGTAGGAGAATACAAGGATTAACAACAGCATACTAGACAAATAATTAACAAATCCATTTATTGAGGTTTTCACTTGTCTTGCTAGGAACTGTCCAAAATGAGCCTGGGGTAAATACTTCAGAGTTATAATGAACCCGGAAATAAGGGAAACATAACTGCAAGGCAGTCAAAAAGTAGTATTAGATCAGGATGTATTAATATAGCTAAATAAAACTGTAATATTTCAGGTAAGCAAGACAAGATTTTAACGTGTCAATTAGAAGAGTTGGTCAATTAAGGAAGTGTGGAAAAAACAACAACAAATACAAAACTGGCAGTAGTTATCTATGCATTGCCTAAGACAGTCTTTGTTTTGCACTGCTGGGGATGGAACCCAGGGCCTCAAGCATGCTAGAAAAGCACTCTACTGAGCTACAGTCAAGGCCTAAGAAAGTAAGTCTTAATATCAAGCTTTTGTTATTTACAATCTACAATTGCATGTCAAAACCACTCCCAAGGAGGTGGGGATCCTGAGGCAATAAATTAGAGCATGCTCAGTCCTGATGATGAACGAACACACCTCCACTGTGAAATCAAAACAGCACATAATCCCTGAGACAATCCTGAACACAAGCTAATCCAATTCCCCTTACCATGATTTGTACTTATTTGCAAGGATATGACTGTGGGGAGAAAACCCCCTGTGGCCAAGTTTTTTCATGTAAATCAATACAGTACTCAACCAAATATCACTCAACCAACTTTCTAAAGGAAAAAAAAATACTGGAGAGGAATATTTTGAAATGGCACTGAGGTTATATTTAAAAGATTAATGAAAAATATTCAAATAAGTTTATGGGTTTTTAATCCATACAAATTACATGGAACACAACAGTAGATAATTTAAACAAGGTAGTATACAATAAAAACTTACTTTCTGGCTTCTATTCTTGCTTCAGAATCAGCATCATGTATTCCTTTCTTTATAGTTTCTGCTAATACTGATATGTGTCTAGATATTTAGAAAAGAAAGCAATAACAATCATAAACACAAGGTTATCTGTGGATGCAAACAGGCTTGAGAATCAACTTCAGAATAGACATGCGCAATGTGGAACAAGGTCAGTCAAGTGATCTGTAGCTCAGAGGACGTGCACGCTCCTTCAGGCCCTCCTTCTTACCCAGGCCCAATACCTCTGCCAAAGCCTCACCCTAACCTCACCTAAGGAAACGCATGGTCTGCTCTCTCCTGAGTTTTTAAATCACAGCTAACTTTTTCTCAGCCTATACCATTTAGCTCAATCTTTTATGAGGCCTAATAACAAAATCCTATCTTTCTACAGTCAGTTTCTATAAAAATTATGAGATGATAATAATAATCCTAACACTAAAGAGTCCGTCTGCACATTTGAATAATGAAACAATTTTTTTTTTTTCAAATTCTATTACTATTGAAAACGACTAGTTTCTGTTTCTGTTTTTAAAGGACAGGGTCTTGCTATGATGCCCAGACTGGTCTTGAATTCAAAATCCTCCTACGTCAGCCTCCCAAGTGGCTGGAGCTACAGACCATATGTCACTGTATCCAGCTTAACATAAATAATTTTTTAAAAATCACTTAACCATTTCATAAACATGTATTCTCTTTAGTTGTTAGTTTTAGTTTAACTGAAAAGAAATTACCAACATGTCTCACACAGTAACAGAATCTTAAGATAAGGAACATGACTGGAATGAGTAGTTTCAAGATGTTCATAAAGCAAAGACTACTGACCGATTTGACCAGCCCTTCAAAGTTCTTGCCTCATTCTTTTAACAAATACTTAGGAGTCACCTGTTAAGTGCAGGCACTGGGTAAGGAGGTAAACAAACACATGAAGTCACATCTGAGGTCCTTGGGCTTCTCTGTGCTGCTCACCTGCCACACGTTACATCCCTCACTTTCCTTCCCACCTCTACATTCCAAAGCCATCAACTAATAAAGAGGATGTAATGTCCAAGAGACTGAAGGGCAAGAAAGCACTGGAAAGGGTATGTGATATTCTTCTAGAGTCAAAGCATTTCCAGATGAAATTTTACCTCTAGAAGGTTTAGTTTTGTTTCATCTTATATTGTTGCTATGTGTTATGGAATTTATTATACTTAAAATTCCATTATTTGCCAACTACTTACTAGACTACAAAGCTCTTCACAAAGCATATAATACACTATGAAAAAAAACATGGCAGGCTATCATCTATTGTCTCCAAATTTAACTCAACATGAGAGACATCTAAAATTGACAGGAAGTAAAAATGTCAATGATGAAATCTTGAAATTCAGACATGCTTCTTGGAAAAGTCTGCCACAATCCTACTTTCTAACTATAATGAATTGAAGTCACCATACACCAGCCTTAGTAAGAAGAACCACTGAACATCCCAAGAGAGAAAAAAAGGAACACTCTAAATGAGTGAAATTCCTTTAAGCACCTAAGAGGTACAGCCTGTCTGCTCAGAGCAGCTTTAAACCTTTCCCTCTGCATCTGACAGGTATGCTAAGCAGTGGGACTGGCATCAATAAACAGTCAACCCTGTCTCTGAGGCTATCTGGACACATTTGCCCACATTCCTGGCACACTAATATTTCAATCAATGAAATTCGCTAACGAGTTCTGCAATTGTTATTTGGCTCACATCAGCAGAAACAATCACAGTCAAGCAAACAAATGCTTAGATTATTCCACTTCTTATCCAAGGTGGGCTGGGCCACTTGCTGAGGGATTCAATCTCAAGACTCAATCCAGAGGAAGAAACAGTTTCAGATCAGACAGATGTGCTTACCTTTCCAGTGAATGTGTCTGCCATTCTTGTAAAAGCAAATCTAAAAATTCAAAACAGCGCCTGAAAAGTATTAAGAAATAGATACCTTAGTAATACATGTTAGTGAAAATAAAAAAGCTGTTTTTTCTCAAGTAATTCTATACTACTACTTATAATGGTTTTAATTTTTATAATTAAAACAAAATGCAACATAAAGAAGAATCAGAACTGACTGAAAGCCAAAGCAGATAAAAGTCAGGAGGCACAGGTGGTGACAACAAGGACAAGAGGTTAGGACACAAGAGTTCACTCTGATCTGAGTCTCATAGTGACATTACTGAAAGGGCCTATCATTATCATCTGTTTTTATATTACCCTAATATGACATTAATACAGAGTGTACAGTTGCACAGAGATTCACATGTGTTACTGAATCAGGAATTGCTCTTTCCATTAATTTTGTAGAATCCTTACAAAAACAGCAGAAAATACTTTGGAAAACTAAGTGCTCTCCACATTTTTCTGCTAAGGTCCTAAGCAGTGCTTCATACAACTCTTCTATAGCTACTTGCTGCTTTCTAAACATAAAACCTCCAACTTCCTCTTTGAAGCCTTCTCATCTTTGCGGTCTTTCTTGCTCTGATTTGCATCACAAAAATGATTCCAGTCTCACTTCCTGTGGGTTACATCACCAGTTTGCTTCCTACTTTTCAGTAATTTCCTTCTTCTGACTTCCTATCTTTGTGGAAGAAAATTACAATAATCCTAGGAATCCACTCCAGGAAACACAAACAGCTGATATTCTTTCAATAATGAAATGATTAGACTTTCTTTCCCATGATCCTCCCAATTTGGCTCATAATCCATACAATTAATCAGTCCATTAGGCTTCGATCATTCCTAACCCTCTGCTACATGATACAGATACAATAATACCCAAAACACCGTGTGGAAAGCAAGAGTGACAAGAAGCAGTTACCAGGCTCCAGGAGCATGGTGGGAGAGCCCTGCAGCTGGGCCCTGGGTGGCAATGTAGCGTGAGAGCTGGTAAAGCAACCACCCTCAAATGAAAAGACACAAAACTATGCCCACACCAGCCCACATCACTTTCTCACTGTCATTTTCCTATTCCTACCCAACCCAGACCATATTAATTCTACTTCCATCACCTTATCCAGGCCATGTCCTAGTCTGATTTTTTCTTCACCTATTCCTTCCTACTCATCTTTCGAAAAGGAGCTCAGTTTATAATTCATCTATGAAGCTTTTTACGAATATATCGTCTGGCTTTAATCACCACCCTGTGCAAATTCTTAATCCACAATATATACATTGTCACTCACTCTTAAATCGTCATTGTTCTTAATCTCAAACACATAGAAGTCAAAATTCAGAAGCAGAGAGAACAGTGGCTACCACATGCTAGGAGTTGGGGAACTGGGGAGATGTTGATTAAACACAGAAATTTTCATTTAGGAAGAAAAAGCCTGAAGAAACATATTGTACATACTGGTAACCTCAGTTAATACCAATATATGGCATACTTACCATATAAAACAAGTATGTAAGGTAATACAGATGTTAAGTATTTGATTTAGCCATTCTACAATGTGTACCTGTATCAACACATCACCTTGTACACCATAAATATATACACTTTATATATGTCAGTTAAAAACAGATCAACACCAGCCTATGTTATGTTTAGGAGGGTCTTCTACCTATAGATGATGGCAGGAAGAAGGTGACACCCCAGGAAAGGAAGCAAACAATAGGCAGCTAAGGTAAACTAGCTCTAAACCTTAGAGTAAAGGACTCTCACTAGGCTGGAGTCTAGAAGTCGAGCTATGGGAATGAGGTCAAAAGACTGCTGCTGAGACTTGCCTTTAACTTACCCAACAAGTCTCCTGACAGGGTCCATTGATAGGTTTAGTGTTGGCTATGAATTTCCTAAAAATCTACACAGCACTACATTAGGTTGGGAAGATGGTCCACAGATATTAACACTTGACTCAACAGTCAAGAATTGCCAATCTGAGCTAGGAGAACAAGGTCTTCACTCTTCACAGGTCATCTAGGGTAGCTCACCAGGATACATGACAAGACAAGGAGTTGGGAACAAAGCCATCACTAGTTACCCAGGTGGTAGCTGCCTGTAGTATCTTCTGGGTAAACCTCTCAAATCTAGAGGCAGAGACAAGAGTCCGGGATTGGGATTGGGATTCAGAGTCCCCAAACCACTATCAGATGGTAGAAACACACATACTTCCTCCTACCCATGTTTGTATGTCACTAGAGCCACTGGTGCTTGTGGTACTTACTTACTTATTTACTTACTTACTTATTTATTTGAATGCATATTTGCTCAGAGTGAAGCAGAGCAGTAACACAAATAGAGGGACCTTCAGGAAAGAGTGCACAAGGGTCTTCTTCTCCCCTTCTTCTTGCCACTAACCCCCAAACATACACACATGCGTGCGCGCACATACACACACACACACACACACACACACTCTAGAGGTTATCCAATTTTTATTCCCAAAATATTTAGATCTTGATTTTTCAACTCAAACCATTTATTGCAGGATTTTAAAAATATTAAATATTTTAAATACAAAATTTTATCCACACAAGATTTAGAGTTTGTTTGGGTTTCCAAGCAATTCAAAAATAATCAGGAAGCACTTTAAAAATTTACCTTCTAACTGCGACAGACTTCGAGGTACAGTTACTTGTTATGACAGGTATTAACCTAGGGATGTGTGTGTGCTGTGGAGAAAAACAAAACAAGTGAACAGCTGCAAATACACAAACAGAATGAAACACAATTAAGAGAACTGCTTCCTTACTAACCAAGATTAAAATGTTACTGAATTTCCTAATGTCAAAAGCCACCACAACATTTACGGAGCAGAGGAGACAATATGAAACATATAGATCAGTCTAAAATCAAAGGCATCACTGTTATAAGGTCTAAGTTGTCTTAGCAGGTTGAAAAGGAGCCATCATATCAACGTATCCTAACACTATTTGAAAGGAAATGTATAGCATTTTTGCATTTAATATGTGAAGTAGGCAGTACTTCACATATTAAACGCAAAGTTTAACAGTTTAGGCAAAATGTACAACAGTTTTGCCTTTGGTATTTGAAGTAGGCAATGTAAGCAAGAAGAAGAACTAAAAATAGTGCAAAGTAGTCCACCGTTATGGTTGGTACATTGCGTCAACTTGAGGAGTTAGAGGCTTGACTAAGTGACTCAGCAGTTCTACATCCTGAGCCTGTGCCTGGGCACTGAAATGGTTTGGGCTTGGGCAGATAGCCAATATACAATATAAGGAGGGAAAAGAGGCTTGCCCTCCCCGCTTTTGCTCTTGGTGCTTTTGCTATCTTCTGGTGCCATGAATTGCTGCCCTCTGCCATGTGCCACTCTGCCTTGGAGCCAGCTGAATGTGGACTGAAACCTCCACAAACTGTGAGCTAAATAAACCCTTCCTTCCTTAATTCTAGGGGTCAGGTATTTTATCTCAGCAACAAGAGAAAAGTAACCAAGACACCCATAATAATAAAGAACATTTTGGATAGGTTTTAGTTGGCATCATCAAGCTCCACAGTTCCCTCAGGGGAAAATGTGGGGTGACATAGGAAATTTTCACCTTAAGCCTTGGTGAACAAGTGGGATTTACCAAAAATCTGAACATGCAGTACTTGGATAGTTAAATACGTGCCTAGAACAGTGGTGGTGAACCTATGCCACACATGCCACATAGGCTGTTTGTTTCACTAAAATGTTTGCCATCACTGGCCTACAAACTGAACTGAAAAGGTAATTGTTTCTATACTTATGTGTAATTAATTTTAAAAGTTTTGGATAAGTAGTAAAACTATAAGCAAAATATATAGCTTGGAAAAACTGGAATTACAAAATGGTATCAGGGAGATAACATAATACATCCAGCAGTAGGTGTGGCTGTTCAGATATTTAAAACCAAGGTTGGGCACATCAACATCCTCAGTGACGGTATAGCCCACATCCACAGTTCACACTGTAGATGGTGAAAAGCTCAATGTGCTACAGTTAGGGAGAAAAAGTCAATACTGGATGTAAATCATGATTCCTATGATATATAATTAATAAGAAATGTCTCTGCCATGTATCTACCATCAATATTTACCAAGTGCTTATTTTACATATGACTCTACAACATACGTACCCGAATGATTAACCTAATAGCTACAACACCAGAAGTGGCCATAATTTTGGCACTGTTTGGAATTAAATTAAAGATAGTTGGCATAATGGCTTCAGCTCCATGGTCAAACTTATTCCCCAGAACCGATGACAAATGCCTACAATAAGAAATGAACACAGGTTTGTAGCTACATTTGCCATAAGCGAAGCATATAAACCTCTTAACATTTGAGAACCCTCATATAAGTTATCAACAGATAAAGGACTAAAGTAAAATACTTTTGAAAATAATTTTATTTTAACACAGATTGAGCTGACATTTTAATGTTTGCTGCAGGTAGCACTTGAACACAACATGAAACTTAGCTCCCACACATGGGAGAACATTTTGATAATTATTTATTTTTTATTTTATGGAAAAAAGGTAATAACAAAATAATAAGAGAATAACAATAGTTAACACATTGCATATTGTTATCATTAAAGTAGTTACTCAGAGTATAAGATATGGGCATAAAAAATTCTACAATTGGTATTAGCACAAACCTTCCTTTCAATGAACTAAGAGATAGTAGTAGTATAACTAATTTGCATTTTTTTTCCTTTTCCCTTCCTTCCTTTCCTTTTTCCTCCATCCTAGCTCCTTCTTCCCATTTCACAATATCTACTATACACTTTAGATTTTCTTTATTCTTTTAATTTCTCATACCAGGGACACAATATGATGTTTACATAAGTGAGTCTCATTTATTTCACTTATGAGTATGGTCTCAAGTGGCATCTATTTACCTGTAAGTCTCCAGTTTATCCTTCTTTATGGATGAGTAGTACTCCTTGTATAAAAAGACCACATCATTTTTATTCATTCCTTGGTTGATGGGCCTATGGGTTGTTTCCAAGACTTAGCTATTGCAAATTGTGCTGCTATAAACACAGGTGCACATACATCATTGTGGTATGATGTTTTTAATTCTTCTGGAAAAATACTCAGAAGAGGAAAAACTGAGTAAAATGGGACCTCTAATTCTGGTTTTTTGAGGAATCTCTGTACTTATTTCCACTGTGGTTGCACCAGTCTACATTCCCACCAATGGTGGGAAAGGGTTCCTTTTTCCCCACAGCCCCACATACATTTATTATTGATTGATTTCTTGATGGTAGTCATACTTTCTGGGGCGAGATGGAATCTCAATGTTGTTTTAATTTGCATTTCCAGAATGATGTTGAACATTTTTTCATACATTTATTTGCCATTTGTATTTCTTCATCTGAGAAGTGTATTTATCTCAGATGCCCATTTTTGGATTGGGTCTTTGAATTTGGGGCGTCTGATATTTTTCAATTCTTTGTATGTTCTAGATAGAAATCCTTTGTCTGAGGGACAATTGGCTAAAATTTTTTCCCACTATGTGTGTTGTCTTTTCACTGTTGCTGATTTCTTTTGATGTGCAGAAGCTTTTTAATAAGATGAGATCCCAGTTGTTAATTCTTTGAAATATTTCCCATAAAAACAATTTTAAAATATGCATACAGGTAGCTTGGCAAATAGCTACTAGCCCAAGAACTTCTTCTTAATCATTTTCAACTAAGTCCCAAAATAGAGAAAAAAAAAAAAACCCAAAAAACAAATTAACCTCCCCCCCAAACAATCATATACTAGCAATAAACATGAAAAACTGTCAGGTGGGGTAGTGTATGCCTGCAATCCTGGCTGTTCAAGAGGCCGAAGCAGGAAGATCACAAATTTGAGGTCAGCCTAGGCAACTTAGTGAGAACCTACGGCAAAACAAAATAATAAAATGGGCTAGGGATGTAGCTCAGGGGTAGACTGCTTGCACAAGGCCCACGTTAGTCCCTACTAACACTCCCCAAAAGAAAAAAGAAACTCCTCTTTTCATTTTTAACTTCAATATTTGCCTGTCCCAAGATTTTAAATATCTGTACTATTTTCTGGTTGTTGCTGTTGTTCCTCTGATATTAGCTAGGATAGCTAGATTTAAACATTATTGCAATACCTAGATTTATAATTTTATAGCCATAGTACTCTTCTAGAAACAAAGATTCTGATAATCACTTAGTATCCTGTCAATAAAAGTCAATGAAAAATCTAAGAAACAGAATTCTATAAAATTTTTTTTCATACTTAATATTAGTAACTGCTTAAAGTTTAAGAGAGAGGCTTCTGAGAAGTCCTTACCCCAATGTGATACACGTCTCCCGCACTACCTGAGACCGCAGATCCTTAGCAGAGAGTTTAAAGGCTCCGTCCAAAAGACGTAAATGTTGAAAGAAGTTATCATATTCAGCCGCACCAGCCAAAAGTAAAGATCTAATCTTTTTTAGCTAATGGGAAAAAGGTAAGTCAAGATATACAAGACAATTCTTAACACAGAATATACAAAGCAACAGAAGTAAAAAATATGAGATTCAACATTATAGTTCAACTGATACAGAAAGTTTTTTCCAAGAGAACTCAGTAAATTACATATTACCTACCTACCTTTCTAGTACACCAAACAAATCTACATATTGCAACTAAGATGAAGTAAATTTTAAAATGTTGTATCTGTGATAAATGTATTATAATTTCTATAAAATTTAAGTGGAAGTATCCTAGTATATTTACAGATTCTGTGATACCAATAGTAACTAAAACCCATTTTGGATTATAAAAGGCCCCTCCCCTATGTTTGCTGGCTCCTACATCCCACTCCAGCTGCATTTAACAAATTTTTTTACAAAAGCATTCCTTCAATATTTCTGTATGATCCTCCACTGCAACACTATGAACTGACTAATTTGAATTGGAAACAGAATAAAACAGTGATTTTACCACTTCTTATCTCATCAACCATTCAGTGTAAAATAGCTTTCCTCAGCTAAGACACCCTCATTTTAGTGTTTAGCTCACATATGTTCCTTTACTTACTTCTAAAAATGAGAAGATACCACTTTCTAGGCAACTGATATGATGAATAAAAAGAATTTTGAGGAATATACACTGAAAGTGTCACTAACAAACCATTGTACTGGCAGAGTCACAGAATTAAATCTTTACTACAGCAAGGGTAGAGGCCATCATCACCAGCCCGGCCACAGGAAGGGTTTTGTGAAGAGAACAAGAATATGTGAACTGATAGGCTGGCATGTATGAAAAATTCAAGTAAGGTGCTCTACTAAAAAGGTGAAGTGTAGAAATGGTAATTTATATTTAAAATACCTACTACTTAAAAATCACTAGAGCTCAATTTCATACAATATTTGGAATATTTAAATCTAACACAAATGTAATCACACGAAGTTAATGGCTTACAGCATTTACTCTCTGCTCCCAGTCGTGCTTATCATCAGATAGTATTTCCCTAATTTTGTTGATGGATTCCTCAAGGTCTCGGCTGGAGTAAATCTGTAAGAAAAATTAACGTACAATCAATATAAGACAGTTTGCAGCACACAGACAATTTCTTCATTACCATCTAGAATGCCCTCCCTGAACATGTAAGTATAGTAAAGAGAAATTATTCCACTTTTAAACATCTTAAAATGAGCATTTTTCTTATTGTAAATGCGTAAGCACTAGCTCCGCTGCCACATAAGAGTAACTTTACCTCAAACACAGCTTTACTCTAAATGCAATGGAAGATTTCATATAATTTTAGATACTTTCAAATTTACTTGCCATATCCCCACATTTCCTGATGCATGCTGGAAAGGAATGGAAGGCATTGGCAAATACTGAAGGGTGCCTTGAGCCCATGGTGCCCGCCACCTGGCTGACGCACATATGGTACCCAACAGGGCAAAGCTGTATGCAACAGCAAGTGCTAGAGATTCAGTTACCAGAAGCTGAGAAAAATTACTGTCCCAATCATCAAAAGCAGATACTGAGGCACAGAACAGTCCAAAATATATGACTATATTCCAACTTTTCTACATAATCTTTGTTTTGCAATTAAGATGTATAAACTAGGCTTTTATTACACCATTCTCTACAGTTTTTCACATACCAAAATCTTTCAAATTTATCATTTTTTAAAGAAAAATTTCTTAAAATATATTTTTCTCCCATGTAACCTAATCATCTTTGTTTCTTTGTGACCTGACCAATACAATATAAGTGCAATCAATTTATTTCCTACTCTTACTGAAAGATCAGCTTGGGCTTTGACTTTTGCTCATTTCAGTCATTTAAAATGTTCCAATATTTTCTAATCTGTATATCAGATTTCTTGTAATCTTGATGGTTTTAAAATTATCAAACCTATTACAGGATCCCATATAGGGCAGTGCTGTGGTTCGGCTAAGTGTGCCCACACAAGCCTGTGTGTTGAAGGCTGATCCTCACGGTGTTATTACTGAAAGGTGCTGGAACCTCTAGGTTGTAGGGCACAGTGAGAGGCCACTAGGTCACTGGGGTGCACCCTCAGGAGGTCGTTTTCAGGACACAGTTGCTACAAAATCCTGAGCCTAGCTGCTGGCTCTGTATAGCATGTACATACTCTTCCTGTTCTCTGTAAAACAGACAATCACTTGTTTGCTGTCATTACTGCCAGCCATCATGTATATGAACTAATGTAGTCAAAGGGCTGCCCTTCCTGGGCCTTAGCTTAGAACTTTGAATCTCCCAAAGGTGAGCTATACATATTTACATATACCTATTTCTCTTTATAAAGTTAGTTACTGTAGGTATTTCATTATAGTAATGTAAAGCTAATATAGATATGTTTTAAAAATGAAACTTGAATGGTTCTGCCCTGTTCTTAGTTAGACTCAAATATTCTCACCTGCACTACGGGTACATCATCAAATGCTTTAATGAAGTCCTCTTCATCAACAGCACCAGCACCCTCTTTTGCAGCTATAAAATATTAATTTTTAAAACATAAACAATGTATAAAAATATATTAAGACATAAATTATGAAGTCTGAATATACATAGCTAAAATTACATTTCAGAAGATTTAGAACTCTTAAAATATTTCACACAGATTTAGGTTATCATGGAACTGACAAATGCTACTGATTTAATATCAAGATGGAGTACAGTAATTCTGCAATGCTATGTATATGAGCTCAAAGTCACTTAGACTACCTTTTAAATTAGAGTTTGAGTTTTAAAGGTGTTAGGTGATATCTATTATAATAACAAAGATCGCTAATAAACATGTCACTGAAAATTTCATTTTCGAAGGGATTAGATTATGCTACTGGGACTTCAGCATAATAAATTTGTGAAACAGTCAAACAAGGTCTAAAGAATTTCAGTTTCATCCCAACTTTATACAAGTGGTGATTTAGTGTTTAAATTTTAAAACCTTATTATAGTAAAAAACACACTGACAAAAATGAAGAAGTTAAGTATGGACTAGATAAGAGGAATATCTGAGTTATTTTGAGGGGGATGATGGCCATCACTTTAATAAATCTTTCACTTTAATAAATTCACTTTAATAAATCTTTTAATTTAATAAATCATTCACTTTAATAAATCTTTTAATTTAAACATTCACCACATGCTTCGATTATTCTTTGTTGATCAAATGTTTATGGCAATTTCTGTCAAATAAAAACCTTGCAGTGTGTCCTCATTTAAGGATCTGGCACCACATGACTTCCGGATCTTCCACAAAGTCAAAATGATCATGAAAAATAAATGTTCTGAATTGATTCAGGACAAAGTCAGTCATGCAGTGCAATGAAAGATACAAAAGAGGATTTCCAGAACTGTCTCAGAAAGTGGCCAAGAATGACAGGATACTTATGTTTGAAGTGAGGGAGTGTATTCTGAGAGGGATTAAAAGCAATGTGTCTTTTGTATTTTTTTTGAAATTTAAATATTCACTATATTTTTCTATCACGCTTCAAACTAGTTTCAAAGCACTTCCATTTCCCTAACCTCCTATTAATTTTGATTTAAGCATCAGTTGCAACTTTCCTCCAGGAAACTATTCTAAGATGCTTTGTATACTTAAAAGTGAATTCTATCATTTAAAATTATACCTTTTTGCTAACATAAACTCTACACATGAAAATCAACTGACATTTTATCAGATTTATTTTTCAGAACAACAGTTTTTAAATTGGCATCTACGGCTACCCCTGAAACCCCAAATAATGATTTACACTGATTAGACTGACTGCTTTTCTAAAAGCGTCTTACCAGAGATCCATCTAGTGTTTGGAGTCCCAATGGACATCCTAGACAGAAAATGGCTTTAAAGACAATTCCAGGTGGTAGCGTAGCCCTTGACAAAGACTGCTCACACTGCACTGACTATAAATGTACAACAGCCACACACTCTAATGTGGTGCCCTACATCCTCGGGTTTGTTTCAGCATGAACACTGGAACGCACTGAGCAGATAGGTCCTAAGCACTTCCTTCCTGTCCGTCAGGCACTACATCCCACACCCTCATATGTACACATGGATAAAAGACTCAAATGCCAGCAATCCTCTCAAGGCCAAGAGATCTGATAAACAGGAGGCATGCAGAAAAGTCATGACTATGATATTAAACACCATGAGAAAAAAGGGTGAGTAGAGGGCTGATGGGCAGAGAGGACAGGTATCTCCGCACCAGTGACCCAAGCAGAAACCTCTGAAAGGGGGAAAGAAAATAGGTTCTGATCACGCAGAAATTCTCGAAGCCTGTTTGTGGAAATCATATTGCCTAAGGACCAATCAAGAAGGAAGGTTAGAAAGATTGTCCAGTCACTAAAAGGAATGGTTCTGACGTATGCTATACATAGATGATATGTTGAAAATTGTCCCTTTAAAATGGTTAATTTTAAGCTCAAAACAAACAAAAAAAATATGTTTTAAAGTGCACCCCAAAAGTTAGGAGGAACTGAGAACAACAACAACAAACATAAGAAGCAAAGCAATGTTTCTGCTTCTGCTTGCCCTGTGTAAACACTGCCAGGAGCTCAGCTCTCTCAAGCAGACAGAGGCAGAGATGGAGGAGCGCCTGTCACCTTTCTGACTAGGCAACACACCAGCATTCCAGGCTAGCTTGGACTGTAGGAAAGAACCAGAATCTAAAATCTAAGGAAGACTATCAGGAGGCACTCTAGAGAATGCTAGTCCTCTGTGTAGCCTTTACTCAGCTCATTCAGCTTTGGTGGCTTTTTGACTTGCTGAATTCTCACCCACCTTCTCCCAGCCCTGAGCCCCAACCAGCTCAAAAGCCAAGTGCCCATGCTGAACACTGCTGTAAAAGCAGTGACCACACAATTTTTTAGAGGTAAAAAGGGAATCTGCATGCCTGTTTACAATCTGACCACAAAACAAGAAATGTATATAGCAATGTCAGACTGACTAAACTGGAGCTGAGACTTACAGAAAAAATCTTTGCAGATCAACATCTGGAGCTTTGCACACCTAACCTATCATCTGTTGAATTTAATATCTATGATGGTCTTGCAAGAAATAATGCTACTCATAACAACAAAATATATTTTAAATACAGAAGATACAATCTGACATTTAGATATTCTCAGTCTTGTTCAACAGAAAGTGGCTAAAAGGCTCCATGGTGGTTTCAGGCAGGCTAGATCCAGGTGACCAAACAATGCCACCAGGGTGTGGTTTGGCTCCGTCTCAGAGCTCTGCTTTCCTCTGTGTTGGCTTCATTCTCCTATAGGCTCTGCTTCACCAGAATGTAGCAAAGTTCCACACAGTTCTCAGTCTTACATCCTACCGATTTATCAGCCTTGGTGGTGCAATACCAGTTCAATTAAAGACACCAAACAGCAATACACTATGTTCAGGGGCTAATTCACTTCTGAGGGGCACTGCAGGCAAGTACCATACAGATCTGGCCTCAGAATACCACACAAGGCTTGGGCTTACCTGAAGACTTGGATCCAAGAGTGGATGATCCAAGCCGGCGGGTGGTCCCCATTGCAATCTTTCTCCGGGAGCTTGCTGGGGCCTTGGATGATGTGGAACTGGCAGAAGAAGGTCTATTACCATCCACAGAATCTTCATCATCAAAATTTTTATCTGAATAGTAAGCACAGAAGTTACGAGAGAGCGCTGCGAGACAAACAGGAAATAGAAAACTTTTTTTCACCTATACATAAAATAACCATTAAACTGGAGACAAATGGTTGGTCTGCTCTTTTAGAATCTGAGACATCCGACCAAGGTCTGAAAGTCTCAGGTTAAATCCATAATGCAGCTACAAAGATCATGTTTGCCCTTGCATATCTAGAATGTCCTCGCATTCCAATTTCAAAAGTATTTCTGACTGTGGTTTCATGCATTTTTAAATAATACCTGAGCCTATGTATCATTCTGGAATACTGCTGGCTTTAAATATCATCTTTCCTTTGTGACCAAATATAAACACCATTTTAAGGTACTTCATAATTAGAAAATGCCACAATCAAAACACTCATTATTAAGTATTTGGGATGTCTGTGATATCCTCACAAATAATCCTAAAATTATCACCTTTCCACATGTATTTTATTTTTGTTTGAATTCAAAAGTTTTAAGAAAAATATCACTGGAAGCAATATTCCTGAGTCAAAAGTATCTGATACTGCCAAATGTATCTACAAGGTTCATTTTCCCTGGAAATTCAAAGTAACCAATTTGCCACATCCTTACCAATACTGAGTTAAATTTCATTTTTATAAAGTCCAACCAATTTAACTTCAACCAAAAATAAATACCCCTCTACATTTTTCTTTCAGTGAAGTGGAAAATTTTTTCATACTCATTAACTTTTAAATTTTCTAAATAGCAGTGGATCCAATCAGTACATTATTCAAGTTGTATTTAAAAGTTTTTAAAAAGTACTTTTGGGCCTATAAATCAACATTTATAAATGATTAATTATTAATGATGTGAAATTAAAGCTATCATGATGCTTGTGTACCAAAGTACAAGGGCTTATGTACCAAGTGTGAGTCATTCAGGAGACTAAATAAACTGGACGTAATCAAAAAACAAAACAAGAAGAAATTACACCTGTAGCAGGCAATATCAGTAATTTCTGAAAAGGGATTAGATCATTACTAACAGGTCTGAAGAAAAATTTTAACCAATAAAGGTTACCCAGAGAGCGTTAGCAGTGACAGAACTGATCTCAGCCTGTCTGTCCTCAGAGGAGCTCCATGAGCCAACAACAGATATGAATAGCATTGTTTTTCTTGATCAGCTTGCTTCTTACCTAAACGATCAACAGCCAAATCTTGTGTTTACTCATGGTCCCACTGGTCCCTATAGCTTACCATCAACGTATTTCAAATTACATGGCTTAGTTTATTCAATATGCGAGGGTGGGGTGCTTATGCAAAGTGCTTTTAAAGATCCCAGATTGTCTTATCCTGTTTCAACATGCTTCATTTAATCCATACCTCAGTTTCTTGCTGGTTCACACATGCAGTGTTCTACTAGCAGACAATACAGTTCCAAGGGATTTAAAAAGTGAGTCATAAAACTGCAGAGCACATTTACCAGACCCTCCCCAAGAGTAAAATTTTAACCAATAAAGCTTATGAGACGAAGGAGAGGTCAATCAGTGAGCATGCCAGTGTTAGCAGTGACAACAACTGATCTTAGCTTGTCTGTCCTCTGAGGAGCTCCAAGAGCACCTGCGTCTCTTATGCAGCCATATTAACTGTAATCACTATTCTGCTTACAGCAAGAACAGTTGGAAGAGGAAAAAAATGAATGAGGGGACACCATTATACTTCATTCAAAAGTTAATGTAAATTGGGCCTGGCTTAGCCCTCTAACATGCCACAGAGGCATGCCATTTAGAACTGTATTCAGTGACTAAAGAATTTTTGTCAACAGACTAATTTTAATGGAATTCTTGGGATTTCTGCTTGCAGCAATAACAGAGTAGCAAACACTAGACTTAACTGCTTCTAGTAAATAGCTAGAATATCAGCCATTATATATATTTATCAGTTACTTTCAGATAATTGACAACAGGTACTGCAGAACTGTGATCCTGAAAGGAGATGAATAAACAAGGTAAGCTCCATAGCTATCCAACTTTTCCCAAGCATAGAGAAAGGGAATCCAAGTTAAACTTGGTAGTCTTCCAAGTTGAGAAAATGAGTAATTCAGGGAGGCAGAGATGGCTAGATATGACAGAACAGAGTTCTAGCAAAAAGGAGTTTATACATTAAGAGAACTTCAAACTTTAAAAAGTTAAGAGAACTTTTAACTTCAAGTTCTAGACCTTACATGTGTAAGCAAACTTTCACAAAGCAGAGAAAAGAAAGAAACAAGACCAGGAAAGTATAAACTGAGCAATTCACACTGTTTAAACAAAGTGTGCAGATGTTCAGGCTTCAACCAGCTACAGTGAAATGTTTTTGGTAACTTACCCAAGATATCTGACAGAGACCCAGGTGAGGTCAGGTCATTCTAGGGTCAAAGATACATGAAACATGTCCTATCAGAGCTTAAAAACTAGGCCTCAAAGGGATCAGACAGATCTGCATAACAACAGAACTCATCTAATATTTTCATAACTAAAATAGGCTGATAAAAATAAATAAAAGAAACAAAATCTCGCCATCTTACCATAGGTTAATACAATGCAATCTAACACACAGGAAAATGTACTCTCAGCAGGGTGGGTGGAAGGGTAGGCACAGAAAAAGACTGTTAGAAATGATGGCCAAAACCTTTCCAAACGTGATGTAAACTATGAACCCATGTATTCAAGAAGCTAAAACATCAAGCAAGATACACACAAGGAAAAACATAGTGAGGTACATTATCACCAAATTACTCAAAACCAGAGAAAAGCAGCCATAGGGAGAAAAGACCCATTACAAACGCAGAAATGACAGCAGTCTTCATCAAAAATCTTCTAAGCCAGAAGACAATGGAAAGACATCTTTAAAAAAAAGTATTAACCTAATAATCATCTGTATCCAGTAAAGATACATTTTGAGAATAAAGGCAAAAAAATTATTATTCAGACAAAGAATTTGTTACCAGAAGACCTAAGCTTCAAAAAAATCTTTAGGCAAAAGAAAAATGATACCAATTGGAAACATGGATTTACATAAAGAAATGAAGAGTAGTAGAGATAATATGTGGATAAATACAAGACTTTTTCCTCATACTTTATCTCCCCATATTTCATTTCTCTAAAAAAGTAATTGTTTAAAGCTAAAATAGAGCACCTAAACAGGAGTGGTTCTGTTTCTGTCCTCAAGAGTATGTTTTTGGAAGTTAACATCCTTTCCCCAAGACTGAAGACATCACATTAATCAAATTCTACCAAGAAAGCAGACCTTTCATAGCCAGTATCTGAATGGAAATGCCTCTCAAGAAATGGAAGGAAAAAAACATTTTTAAGCAGCCAATATAGGGTCCTACTTGATCTTTTTATTTACCCTTTGGAAACGAATCTAACAAGCATACTTATCTGATTTCCTAAGCAGATTAGAAGCAACTAATTATAGGGACAGCAAGAAGGGGGTCACATGAGTTAAGCAAAGTGATATTAATAAAAAGTGACAGTTGAAAGCCTGATCACTAAATAGAAACCACGAAAAGCAAACACACATGCAGAAAAGCCCATAACCCCAACTTCCTTAGTATGCAGTGACAGTACAAGGGTCAAACAACATCTATGTAATTTAATAGCACTAGAGCAGGTGCTGGTCAGAATGACCCTGCACCTTCAATATAAGATGCAATTACTTTTCATGTAATCTGTATACTAAGGAAAAGAGAATTCATATTTCCTGTCTGAATTAGAAATTCAGGGAAAAGACAATATTTACTTTCTAGGTTAAGGATCGGATATGCTTTAAATGTATGGGTACTTTACCTGAAAAGGTGTTTGGAGAATAAAATACAATGGAGGCTACGGTTTTGAAAATGTGTGTAACTTACTGTTTGAGTTTGGTCTAGATTTTCCAGGTCTTTTTGGACACTCCCGAATTAAACCAAATTAAAAGGGGACTGAGTATTCAGAAAGGTATCAAGTTTCACTTAACCTGGAAATTTCCTAACACAGAATGCATCATTTCTTAATGGGCAAATACACCAGATCTGGGTAGAGTGAGTGTACAGCCAGTCCTGGATGTGTCTCACACTCCCAGACTCTAACACAGTTCAGCATTTCTCTGTTAGGGCAATGCATATGGAACTTATTAGCCATGTAAATTCCTATTTTCTTTAGGCTTTTTAGGTAAGTGTTAGCATACAACTTCTCTTTCTAGAGCAAGAAGGCAATGACTAAAAATGTATAGTTTTAACTGTGCAAGCTTGTCCCATTACACTACTATAAATTTTATCACACAATACAACAACAAATGTTATACACAGAAAAACTTTGTCAAAGGGTAAGTTCTCCCTGATTCCCCCCAAATAATTCTGTCTTTAACCACCACCAGCAAGCCTATCTTCCACCATCATTTCTTTCATCTGGTCATCAGGAAACAGAAACCCGCTGTAAGTTCATCAGGACCTTCAGTTCCCAACCACCATCACCTCCTTTCATCTTAAAAAAATCATCTGTGCTCCATTCTTCCTTACAGTATTGTGACAAGGCACCTGCAAATAACTCATGAAATTTCTACAGAATGACACTAGAATTTCCATCCAACCCACACTCACCCTACTCTTGGCAATCCTGTTAATGAAATCAGTGAAAGGAAAAATAGTAGCAAAAAGCTTGCTTCAAAGAACTAATGATACAAAAGAGGTTTTAAAACCCAGCAGAGAGAATCCTTGGCAGAAACAAAAAGGCTGGAATTCAGTCATGAATGGAGTTAAAAACCAAGTCAGCAGACTTGGGGAGCTGAACGTATCTACTACCGTAGTCTAGATCCTGGGGAGAGCCTGGAGAATGGCCAGGGCTGGCCCAGGAGATCAGAACCAGCCCCTTCAGCAGTCTCTGCTATGCAAGACACTCAAGGCCCTACAGACTCCCCAGCAGAGCTCACCTGCCTCAGAATGCAACTTTAATCAAACCGGTTGGAGAGAGAAACTATCTACCTATACATTTCAATCAG